GACGCATTAAAAATTGGGAAACAACGAAGGAGAGGAGGAAGGAAAAGCAAAGAAGGGAGAGGAGGAGGACCTTGCCTTAGTCAAAACAAGCTGGCCAGGCCACACCGCTGCTTCATTTTCCCTGAAATATTTTCAGTTGTTTTTCTTAACCTAGCGTTTAAGTCTCCGTAAAAATGCCTCTTAATTGAATGTATTTAATGCCTAATTTTCTCTCATACGAAAAAGAAGAGAAAGGAGAGGAGGACGAGGAAGAAAAAGAAGGAAAAGAGGAGGAGGATGAAAGAAAAGAAAACGAAAAATGAGTTTAGTACAGGTATAAATTAGAGGGGAACGGAAGCAGAGGCGAAGAAACTAGGAAAAAATTATTTTCGATTCTCCTTATCATATTTTTCTTCATTCCCCTCTTCTTCTCCTTGTCATTCAGCTCTTATTCTTTCTCTTTTCTATATTCTTCCTCCTTTTCTTCAGCTCCCCCTTCCGTTCTTATCCGATACTTCTAGACTTTGTCTCCACGAGACGTTCCTTAGGATTTATCCCAAGTTCGAATCGCAAGAATGAAACTTCTAGGCTTTTTCTTCGTTAAACAAAACAACAAAAGTTCTTCTTCCTCTCTCTAAGTCGCTCTCAGAATTTCACAAGGGCTCTAATTAGTATTAACGACCTCAGTTTTTTTCCCAAATTCGCAAGTGAGATTTTTCCCCGGGACAAATCTCATGAAAAGTCCCGTGGGGACAAGACCCTATCTGATCTGTCAATCTCAGGTTAATTCTGCGCGGCCCGAAACGCGGAGAGGAAGCACTCCGATTAGCAGCGATTATGTGTCTCTACCGGAGAGGCAACGTTGAGTTAATCGGCTCGCCGATGTCATAATCGGAGACGACAATGGCCGCAGCATCCTCCGACCGGCTCAGACTAACAGGACCCGATTCCGCGGCGGCGCCCGACGACTTACTGACCTACAAGCCACAGGTTATGTTATGTTGTTTACCTTGAATCACTCAGTGCGGTGCGCTACCTCAACCATTTCTCCCATCCGGCTTCTCCCTTGTCCACCTTTTCCGTTCTATCTACAAATTCCTACACCCCCCCCCCCATCCCCTCGCACGGCTCGCAAAGCCGCGCCAATACATTGCGAGTACCGTTCGCCATCGGTTAGCGCTTCACCCCATTGTTTAACTCGCGTTTTAGCGGGATTACAGCTGATTAGCGTAGTTCTCGTCGACGCCGGAATCATTAATAGAAATTGTCTGCTTCGTGCCCACGGAATTGAGAAATGGGCTCGAATAACTCCGATCGGTCGGCGTATCTTTCAGCAATTCACGGGCGGGCAGTGTTTAAAAATTGAATACACTGGGAAAAAAACACATTGGATCTAGAGTCAAGACTCTTGAAAACATTGACAAGAAAGAATACTCTTGATTCAATCGGATTTTTGCTTGAATTAAAACGAAATCCGCTTAAATTAAGAGGCTTGCTTCTTGATTTAAGCTAGATTCTGACTGAATCAAGAGTACTTTTTCTTGTCGATGTTTTTAAGAGTCTGGACTCCAGATCCAACGTGGTTATTTTCGAGTGTAGATTCGCGTAAACCGAAATCGGATTGGATATCTTAAATTGTTAATAAGATTCTGCTTATGCTAACTTTGCAAATAAAACAGCAAATAGGGAAAAAAGATAGATGAGTCTTGTTCGCCACTTCTCGGTCAATAAATGCAACGATTCGGCGGGTTAATTGTTGAAATTTATAGACAAAGAGATACATAAAGAAGACTTAGGAAGTATGGAGCGATTCAATTGGTTGAAATGCGTGTTCCTAACTAACTAAGGGGGTAAATGATGGACCAACGAAAGAACAAACATAAATGTGGTTAATAATTTTAACTTCACCGCGCCGACCGCACTGTGTTGGCGCAATGTGTGAAGTATTCATGCAGTCTTGTCGGCGCTATGCGTTTCAAGCCACCTGCTGCTGACCGCAGTGTGCTTGACGCAATAAGTGAAGTAGTCATGCAGTCTTGTAGGCGCTACGCGTTTCATGCCGACCGTCGTCGCACCGCTCCGTTCCAGGTCAAATTGCGTGTTTGGTTTCTCTCTTAACTCGACTAATTAAAGGTGTTGTCTCTTGTATCACCGAAAGACGACAAAATTAGAAATTACTATACTTTCACTCGCAGGAAATGAGAGATTTCGTCGCCTTTTCTCGTTTGTAATTTATTTTCTGAATCCGATTTTTTCCTCTCTTTTTTTGATACCTACATTCAAAAAGATGGAAAAATTTGCCGCCCCCTAAATTTTCCGCCATGGGCTGCGGCCCTTATGGCCACCCCCTTAGTTTGGCCCTGACTTCCCTGACACATTTCGGTGAAATTCCCTGACAAATGAACATATGTCAGATTGTTAAAAAGACATATTTAGAAATAGTTTTCAGGCAAAATTTTGTTGTTTGAAACGTCAAACCCAAACAAGAAAGTAAACGAAGGTGATTCGGCAATTTTCCCAGACATTTTCGTCATTTTCCCTGACATTTCCGAGTTTTCCCAGACTTCTTAAAATTCCCTGACGTTTCCGTGTTTCTCCGACTGTGGCAACCCTGGTACAACCATCAAAAAAAATAAAAGTGCAGATGCAGTTAACGGGAAGCGCCTGCATCGAGGCGATCGACTCGGGAGTATGCTTTCGCTGTGTAAACAACTTTCCTGGAAGAGGTTAGATCTGCGCAAACGCAGGTTGCGATCGACTCGATAAACAAGAACAAGACAATGACGCGCCACCTCGGACCTGAGAGTCATAACCCGAGATTAAAGGCAACTACGACGATAAAACTCGGCGCAGACAATGCAGACGCACTAACCTATAAACACAGAAAAAGGGGTCCTGCTAACTTAAACTCTGCGCCCGTATGCAAGAGGCACTTTCGACTTTCGTAAGGGGTATCCGATCAGGCTGTGGGAAAAACTACTGCGGCAATGCGGCATTGCCGCATGGAGACAAAATATTCGTTTACTTAGGACACCAGGGTTTCCGAATCTCGTAACCAAAAATTCCATACGTCCGAACCTATTTTTGGTTTAGGTAACGAGAGCCAAACATAATTCGTATTTCTTTGCCGAAGACCTCGGTTATCTGACATGCAGGCTCATTGTCGAAATAATGAGCAAAACTATAAAGAAAGAAGACCAAAGAAAGAAAAAGCGATCCCATTGGTTGAAACGGATAGTTATTATTGACTAGGGGAGAAAATGATGAACCAACTACGGGGTCTCTCGTGGGTTGACGTAAGTTATAGCCTGTATACCATCTTTGTCCATTGTAATCACCCGTTTCCACTGATATGATAGCTCCATTTTTCCCTGTGTCTCTTATGTCTATAACTATGTCTGAGAAAAATTTCAATGATGCGAATTAAATGAAATCAGACCAAAAGGCAATTATTATAGAAAATGAGATGACGCTTGTTCGAACTATGCAATTCAATTATTTCCGCACAAGCCTTAAATCTATTGCTGCTTTCATTTCAAAGTTGATTTATTGCAACAGTTAGAGATGAAATCAAATGAGATCTTGAACCACGGATGAAAAAGGAGAAGGTTCAGAGTTTTAGACATACGTGTATTTACACAAGTAGAGATGATGTTCTGGGTTACGGCGCATATAAGCATTGTAGTTACGGCACCTCTCGACTGAAAGCATATTGTCGGTCAGCCAGTCACACAGCGGCAATGGTAATAGGTGTACTTTACTGTAGCGAGCAATGGGTATCTAAAAAGAGACTTAAAAAGGATGGAGTAGCACATAAAATAGCCTGTGAACATGAGCCATTCCCCGCGCTTTGCAACTATAATCCCGCGTCGACAATTTTCCCAATCAGCACTTGCGCCAGCTCCTTTAAAATCAGCGGGTTCGCAGGAAATCATTTCCCGGAGGATGAGAGGAAATTACACACATTCCGTATTCAGAGGCCAACACTTGCACCCTGAGGTGAGACTTTCGGAGAGTATGAGCATAAACCATCTATCTACATGCGGCACTTTGTGCAGATAGATCTTTCTTGCTTGAGTCCTTATTGCGACTGCGGGTTGATAACTGGTACGGAGCGTGCAATAACAGTTAAGGTTCACACCCTTGTTCATGTTGCCATTCTATATAGGAATCTTGTCAGATTGAGACAAGAGGCTGCACTGTTGTTAAGAAAAAACGGCGTATGAACATTTGGACATAGTCAAATTTCAACGGGTGGAATAATTATTTTTGATAAAAATAATCATCTATTTTTCTTGGAATTTTTAGATATGGTGGATTAGATTGCAAACAGAATTGTCTGTTAATTTCAACGAGAGAAGTTTACAAACGCATTGGTGTTTCATGACGAGAAATTCCACTTCAACATCCGAAGAACAATACAGCGTTTTCTCTTCACGAAACATTAAATTCACGATGTCATTTTGAGGCTTTTATCCAGAATTCGGTTTCGATTAATGAATTCGATTATTGAATTGGATCCGTGCGCTAACAGATCCTTTCTCTTTCTAAAATTACTAGTAGCGTCATGAATTAGGCAATTTGACAATCTATATGTACGTAACATTGTACTACTTGGCAAGAGGGCTATTTTTTGCGAATCATAGCGATGGATCGGTCGTTAATTTGCACTTTTTTTTCTGACGTTAGAAAAACATGCGCGGAGTTAAAAAGCGGTGCAGGCATTTGCGTATGCGCGGCCAATAGATCGGAACCGCTGTGACCCGGGGTTACCGAGACCTGCATTTAAAGGGTGTGGCTCAGGGCACGTCTAGGAGTGTCGACTGGCAATAGAACCTGAAACAACATCTGCCGTGAACCAAAGAAAGAGCAGCAGGTGAATCCTCAGCTGAGCTGAAATTGATGGAGTGAACATTTGAAAGTTCAAGATTTGTTTAAGCCTTCGAAATTTCCAGGTCTCTAACTTGGAATACAAAACTCAGAAATTCCGATTTTTACCTCTGTATTTTTCTCTGTTTCAGGTCAGCGAGTTTCATTGCTGATATCAGAAACGAAATCAACATTTAAGGTAATTCAGTCTTCATGATTCACAACTGTAATTGTTCAACCCAATTTATCGTAATTGATGGATTTAAATTAAGGTTTAACAACAGATAGATCACCACGATTACAATTTTTTGTGCAAGATTTTACAACCAAGAAACAACCCTCAAATGTCAGATATTCAAGAATCTCGGTAGGATAGTAGGTTTACTTAGGTTTGTTATTAACAATGAATTCTATTGCAGCAAATAGTCAATTTTTTTTTACAGTATCAGGGATCGAGCAAGGGCCTCAAAATCATCAAAATTTACTATAACATCATTCGAACTTCCTACAACCCCAGAACCTTTTTAAGCAAATCAGTTATCAGAATCAAGTGCCCATTTAAATGTTACACAATAAAACACTAAGGAGTTAAATTTTGATGAGCAACTGAACGAACGCTGCGGTAATGCGTAAAGTATCAATCAGAAATGAAGGCGGGGTAAACCGAAATCGCAAAACAACATGTGGGGTATGGAGCAAAGAAAAAGGAGTGAAAAGTGGTGAATGATGAGAATTCGAACAGGCATACATGTTTCAGACATGAAATTTCAAAGAGTAATTGATAAAAATACATATCTGTTCCGGTCATTGGGAAAGAAATAATGCAGTGTGAAGTTGAGGATTTGATAGCAGAAGTTATTGACTTCTCGCAGTCGTTGTTTATGTTTGTTTGGCTTTTTGGAAACTTGTCATCCTCCAAGCAGTTTGAATTTTTTATTAGATGCCTTCAAACTAGACTAATTCGAAACATTGGATCGAGTTAAACGAAAGAGATGTAAACTAAAAGAAGTTAAAAGCGAAAAAAGGAAACTTGAAGTACCATTCTTTCTTCAATTCAAAATTCAAATAGACTTCAACGCATATTTCACATTCAAAATATTTTTTCTCAATTTTGAATTTGTCGTAAGAGAAAATTTGCGACTCGTGAAGCTTAAAAATACCCCTGGCTAAAGTCTCTCCAAAATGTGACTTAATTCATTTCTGCATCACTGGAAAAAAAACACATTGGATCTGGAGTCTAGACTCTTAAAAACATCGACAAGAAAAAGTACTCTTGATTCAATCAGAATCTAACTTAAATCAAGAACCAAGCCTCTTTATTTAAGCGGATTTCGTTTTGATTCAAGCAAAAATCCGATTGAATCAAGAGCATTTTTTCTTGTCAATGTTTTCAAGAGTCTGGACTCTAGATCCAATGTGTTTTTTTTTTTTTCCAGAGATAATTTGGTTCATTTGATCCATCGGACGACACTGGGCCGAGTCAAACTACCGAGTACGCACCGATCCGTACCAAGTTTGGCCCTAGCGAAAAAGATTCAAAGTTACGGACCAAGTTTGGCAATTATTTAAAAAAATATTTTCTCTCGACTTTCCGAAGAGAAAATTTAGAACAAGTTGAACTCAAAACTAATGTTCTCGGAATAATTTTGCAAGTATATTCTTTGCCAAATGTTCATAGAACATTCATCCAGTAGGTTCTTTGAATATTCAAGAGAATGTTCTTCGCAGAATACTTGTAGAATATTTGCCAAATAAGATCTACGAATGTTCTCAGAATATTCCTGCGAATATTCTCTAGTGTGAATGTTCTCAGAATAATTTTGCAAGTATATTCTTTGCCAAATGTTCATAGAACATTCATCCAGTAGGTTCTATGAATATTCAGGCAAATTTTTTTCAGAATGCGACTTGGCGCGGTTCTGTTAAAGACGGCACTTTTTTGCGCCCGGTGCGGCACCGAGGTTGGAGGTAAACTCGGGTACAGCCCCGACTTGCGGATAGAGTTCTGGATCGCAACGAGCGGAGCCGCCGAGGCCCCCGCGGGCCCGACGGCGGTGCAGGGAGCCGGGGGCCCCAGGGCCCACCACGCACACTTTATGACTAATCAGATGCCCATTTCACATCATTCATCGCTCTTTCAACATCACCTTCGGATGCTTTCGCTTGGCGATTCAGGCGACCGCCGCATAACTGTTTTTCCCCGGCGTCCCTGCTCCGCGGCGGCACGAAGCTCAGGAAACGTTTATTTTACGATCTGCGGGAAATTACTGGGTTATAAGGGTTCCGAGCCAGTCCGGCCCGTAGAGAGCGCCGGCTCGCGGCGCGAGCGTGCGCGTGGGCTCCTCAGATAAAGAATCTCCAATTTTTGTCCAAGAGCTCGTATGAAACAGAGGTGGAACCCACCTCGCGGCGGGGAGAACGCTAAGCCAGAAAAATCGAAGGAGACTCGACTTAAAAAAATCCGAAGAAAGATTAAAGTACGTATATCGGGAGAGTCTCCGGACAATTCCGGAATTCCGAAGAAGTATCAGGCCTTTACCGATGACTCCGAGAATAAAGTTCTTCTTCTGCTTCTCATTCTTCTTCTTCTTCAATCATCCTCAGGAGAGGAGAGCCAGCTTCATCCTCATCTCTTGGTCGGCCAGGTAATCTGTTCCCGAGGGGTTGTCCGGTCATACAAAAGTATGAGAGTAAAGTTAGAACCCCCCCCCCNAAAAAAAAAAAGCAAGGACGGTATCAAATTATTATACTTTCCGATCAGTTTTGACTTGTTGAGTTTCCTGAGGTCATGATCTCACTCAGTCTGTATACACTCTTGTAACCAAGGAAACCAAAGAATGGAACTTTCATAAAAAAAACAGTTTAGTGGAAAACAGTGTAAGTAGGGCGCTTACGTTAATTACCGTTTATAAGTAAACGGTAAATGAGATTTAACCAAAAATCTATACAGTTCTTTAGGAAACCGAAATGGATGGAATTACAAAATTTGAATCAGCTAATGCAAATCTAGCAATAGTTATCGAGAACGAACGAAATTGACGACACAGGTCGGGTAACTATTATAGGTGGAATTCGGGCCACTTTGTTAGTGGTTTTTTCCCCTCGTTAAGCTCTACTGAAAATCTAGATTCAATTCGCCAGAGGCTTTAAAATTAATGCCAATAATTACGGCTTACTATGATGGTCCTACAGACAATTGCCGACGTCTCAGATGATGCACTGTGGATTCTGGAAACACGTAGGGGAGGGCAGCATTTCTGGGAAAATTTCTCCGAGCCACGAGGTCACGGCGGAGGGAAAGGGGCGCGGGCTCGGACCCCCCGTCGCCATTTTCTTCTTTGTTGCACCGTGCATTCGCCAGACTTTCGGTTTTCCGACGCGGGACGACCCGCGAGCGAGACCGCGGTTCTTCGAAACCGGAGAAAAAGCGGACTCAGAACCACGACCTACACCTACTTAGCGTCAATCTGTGATCCTCCTGTCGGCCGTAGCCAGGTATCGGGATTCGAAAGACGTTAACGAGTGGCCCACGGTGGAAGGGGGAGGGGTTGGGGGTAATCTGACGGGTACAATGGCCTTATGTGTCACATACGTTGCCATGATTATCTTGTACCGCCGAGATATCTTGCTCTGCCGACAAGTAGAGGCTGAGCAATAACAAGGACAAAAACGGGATTCAGTGGCACAGAAATTGACGCGTGTTGAGAAAATAAAATAATTAGTCGGGGGGGGGGGAGCGGGATTTTCGACGAAGATTTATAAGGCAGCAATGGGAAATTTTCTCGAGAACATATTTCATTGATTCGTATGAGAAAGCTTTAATGATCCATAGGCTATAAGTTTGGATTATAATTTAGGTATTTTCAGTTTCACGATGGACCACTAGACAAGGCACGAATTTCAGCATTCTGATACATTGTTCTTGGCCAAAATTTCACGTAAAACACGATGCGCACAACAAAAATTACCGAAATCGACTCCTTACGAAGATATTTAATGATTCTTGATGCATGAATTCAAACCACCCGCTCATGAAAACTCAATGTTCTACGTGATTCACATCGCGCGCTAAACGTTATCATGACCGTTTCTGCGATATAAAAATCTGGCAACCTCAACTTTGACGCTTTGGCTCAGCTATGGCAAGTTACTTATAGTTTGAATAACACATGATGGGAAATGAACATTGCTCGATTGAGAAGCTTGCTGAAACCGTTGTAGTGCACAATTTGACTCACGCAGAGCTTTGAGTTTCTTGTGAGCGGGCAGTTCAAATTGCTCGTGACCAATGTGAAATGAAAACATTAATATCTTCGTCAGGAGTTTATTTCAGTAATTTACTTTGCGCGAATCGTTTTCTACGTAAAATTCTGGTTAATAAACATGTATTAGAACGCTTGAATTCGTACCTTGTCTAGTGGTCCATTCCACGCAAAACTAATAATGATGACTGTCATGTATCGAAGTTTTCAATATATAAAACAAACAACAAAACAAACGCCATGATTCCAACAACTTCCGTTTCCTGATTTTCAAAGTTTGTCCGGTAGGTACACGGAAAAAGTGTTAGGGATCATTCCCTAACATTGTGGTATTTTCCCAATTTCTTGGATGATATGGACATGCCTGCTGGACATGTTTTTCGTGTAAAGAATTTTCGTTGTAGGTTTCAATATGAGGAACTGCGTCACATGACAGCCGTCATTTCTAGCTTTGTGTGAAATCGTGAGACCTCACTGGAAGAAAAAAACACATTGGATCTAGAGTCCAGACTCTTGAAAACATTGACAAGAAAAAATACTCTTGATTCAATAGGATTTTTGCTTGAATCAAAACGAAATCCACTTAAATTAAGAGGCTTGGTTCTTGATGTAAGCTAGATTCTGATTGAATCAAGAATACTTTTTCTTGTCGATATTTTTAAGAGTCCGGACTCTAGATCCAATGTGTTTTTTTTTCCAGTGCTGGGTGACTCCTCCATATCAAATCATGTCGTCGCGTTGGTACTTCTTAAAGCGGGAAGCTTAAAAATGCGCAAATTATTTGGTCGGGTTGTGAAGTTAGGAATGAATTTTAAACTTTTCCAAAGCGTCCGTCGTCACTTTCAAGCCATTTCTTTTTGCTGTGGTAAAATTCTGCAACAGATCTTTCCTTGGTTGTCCGCTCTGTGCGGTTGTGCTGAAAATGACGGTTGCTTTT